AGGACAAAAACGTTAGTATATACTTAAAATTGTTAGTTTGTAAAGAGTATAAAAAAGATAATCAAATAAGCATATCAATGTATTGTGTTTAGTAGGCTTAGTTTAGAACTAAGAATGCATAATAGCCATAGCTGGTTTCACTCAGTGGATAGGGTGTTGGCAGGTGGACTGAAGGGCCTTGGTTTCAATTCTGGTCCAGGGCACATGCTCAGGTTTCCAGCAGAATCCCCAATGCGGGGTATGCAGGAGGCAGCTGATCAGTGGTTCTCTCTCATCATTGATGCTTCAGTCTCTCCTCTCCCTTTCAATCTAAAATCAATAAATGTGTGTGTGTGTGTGTGTGTTTGTGTATGTGTGTGTGTGTTTGAGAAATAATTTATTTTAAAAATAATGCATAATAATATGGGCCTTCTAGTCCACAAGTAAACACTTTAGGATGGTAGAAATGAGGGGGAGGAAGGGGGAGGGGGCTAGGAGAGGAGAGAACAAAGGGAGGGGGGAAAGAAAGCTCTGAAATATTTGGTGAGATTTGTATTAATTGTGTACAATAATAACAATTTATTTTTCTAAGAAATCCTTTAAAAATGAGACCAAGTTGTTTTCCAAGTTGTAGGCCCCTATGCCTCCTTTGAGTTCTCATTTTGAACCCTAGGTTATGTGCATCTGACATCTCAAGGGGCTTCATTATGCAGTAATCATATGAAGGTCTCTCTCCCTCCCTCCCTCCCTTCCTCCCTCCTTCCCTCCCTCTCTTTAGCTGTGAGGGGTTTTTGGCTTATCCTGTATGATGTTTTTTTAAAAAATGATTTATTCATCAACATTGAATGAGGGAATTTTAGACAAAATATTTCATGCAATTGCACAAAAGACATTTAAATACCCGACAATTCTGTGTTGAAATTCCCACAGACTTTTAATAAAACTGGAACTGAAAATTATCTTTCTACATTGGATGTTGCAGTGTTCCAGGTATTTTTGCCTAACCTCCTTCTTCACTCAGTCATGGTGATCTGTCTGCCCTCTTAGCATTTGTGAATTGACTGCTAGGTGTGTAATATATGTTATGATGGGCATATTTAGAATTTCCTTGGTAGTTTTCTAATTGAACTTGTGAAAATGCACACACACACATACACACACACACCCCTGGAAGCAGCCTTACTGTGTGAAAACCCAGCTTCTCTCAGTTGCCTGTTAGGGCTGCCTCAGTTCTTAGTTCTTTGCTTGCTAGCATCTGGACTGAGGCTGAGCTGTAACTTGGGCGAAACACATAAGCTCTATCTGACTAATGGCTGTTCGCTTTATTAGAGCTAAGCGCATGGCTGTTCATGTCACAAGGATGATGAAAGATGCTTTTGTCTTTGATCTCAATATGTCCTTGAGATTTTTGAATTACATGAGATTTCAGTCCGTGTTTGACTTCAACTAGTATCTATATAGAAATGCCTTCCAAAGAACATCAAATATTGTACCAAAGAATTAATACTTCATTGTTGAATTCTTATTTCTTTTTAAGGCCTGGTGGGGGGCAGGTGCCAGTGGGAGGAGTCAATGGGGAAAAAAGTGACATCTGTAATACTTTCAGCAATAAAGATGAATAAATAAAAAAAGATAAAAATATTACTTAAACTAGTAGTAAAGGACAGAATCACAAAACATGACAATACTTTACTGTCAATGCTTCCCCTGCTATAACTGAAATATTTATGTTCTAATCATAGGAAAGAATAACACTTTTTATTTATTTTTTTTAGGAAAGCTGTGAAAAATGTTATATAGAAACCATGTACTTAACCATATCTAAACAAGACGGTTTTAATTCATAGTTTTTAAAAACATGTGAGAGAGCTCAATTATATTATTCCATCCTGATAAAAACCTCAAAATGAGGTATATTAACATTGTAGCATTGATTCAAATGCAATGCCATTTCCTCATTATTACATTTACACTGGGAAACAGGTGTGGCAAGGTTTACCAGGAATGGGAAGTGTTTATATATACAATAAGTGCTGGGAATAAGAAGCTCAGTTAGAGAGAGCAAAATTTACCCACCATTTCTTAAAAAAGAAATGGATGCTTTTATTTATCTGTGCCTTATTTTGAGAATTCAGTGATGAATATTATATTTGAAGATATTAGAATAAACATCCCAATGCAGGTCAGTGTATAGGGTGAGTTGGCAACAAAACAATATTCTTTCAGTATCTCTCAGAATGAGAAATATGCTGGATCAAAACATTACTTAGCTGAATCAAGAATTTTTCATATTTGAAAGTTTACTTATCAAGTCATTATCCACCAAAATGTTGCTTATAATTGTACTTCCAGAAAGGAAACCACATTTTATACTAGCCACATATGGCCCTTTTTGCCAGTACTATCAGCACAAAATTTGTTTGAGATGCTGTATTGAAATTGAAAGGTATATTTGATAAACTACAGTTCTGCTTAGAATGAGTTTCCCCCCTCAGTCAGATATTTACTTTGCAAGAAATATACATGGTTAATAAGTATGATAATTTAGAGTAAATGTGATTTTAAAGCTGGTGCTAGACTAGAATTAGTGAATTAAACGAGATGATTTTAATTCATGATTTTAAAAACATGTGAGAGAGGCCAATAGCTCCAGGCTGTCACTCTTATATTATGTTAGTGGTGCCTCAATCATATTGTACTCCTTGTCATCGGAAACATTTGTTGAGAGCCTATGATGTGAGAAAAGATTGAGAATTAGGATAAACTATACAGATGATAAATATATAGATACATAGATACGTTGATACATATATGATAGTTTGATAGTTCCTCTATTCCATAGAATTTTAATCTACTTAGGAAAAGAGGTCACATCTTGAACGGTAGGTAGTAATAATACTAGGTGACCTAAGCTAAGTGTCCAGTGAGTGATCAACGTCGGAAATTTTGCAGGCTGGAGTAGTATTATAATTCCTTGATATTTGAAGTGACGGAAGGGCAGAATTTAAAATGAACATTCCCGCCGAAACCAGTTTGGCTCAATGGATAGAGCTTTGGCTTGGGAACTGAAGGAACCCGGGTTCGATTCTGGTCAAGGGCATGTACCTTAGTTGCGGGCATATCCCCAGTAGGGGGTGTGCAAGAGGCAGCTGATCGATGACTCTCTCTCATTGATGTTTCTAGCTCTCCATCTCTCTCCCTTCCTCTCTGTACAAAATCAATAAAATATATTTTAAAAAATAAAATAAAATGAACATTCCCATCAGAGTAGTATTTGAAAGAGCACAGGAAAGAAACTGAGAAGCAGGATTTCCCCTGCTGTAACTGAAATATTTGAGTTCTAATCATAGGAAAGAATAACACATTTTTTTTAGGAAAGCTGTGAAAAACGTTATATAGAAACCATGTACTTAAACATTTCTTCTGAGTAGGTTTAAGAATTAGGTGGGGGTTTTTAATAGCTATTTCTTTATATCTATCAGGCTGCATTTGGTAGATTTTCACTTTAACTTTTTTAAGAGGCTACCTATTTCCTATGATTTTCCTTGTTTTTCTTTTAACTAGCATATTCTTGCTAAATGAATAATGTTGAATTAGTCTATTATTCAACATAGAATAATAAATAATAAATAATATTATTTATTCAACAATAAATAATAAATTTATTCAATAATAAATAATATTATTTATTCAACATTAATAAATAATGTTGAACCTTTTCAACATTATTTATTATGTTGAAATAATAAATAATATATAACATAGTCAAATAAAAATAAAAACAATGTATATAGTAGTATCACTTTTAAGGCAGAAAAATTTCCTGACCTGGTTTGTGATCATTCTTAGCAGAAATAAAGCTTTAGGTATAGTTGTAGGTATATTTAAATCAAATCAAAATCACAGCAACATTGACTGCAAACTGAAATTAGTATTTTTCTGTAGCAGATTAAACTTTAGAAAGAGGCTATTGCTGGGTGGTTGAAAGCAGTAAGACCAATCCCTTGGGACAGATATTAAAAGATGTAAGTAGTCCCAGCTGATTTGGCTCAGTGGATAGAGCATTGGCCTGTAGACTTAAGGGTCCCAGGTTCTATTCCAGTCAAAGGCATGTACCTTGGTTGTGGGCTCGATCCCCAGCAGGGGGCGTGCAGAAGGCAGCAGGTCCATGTTTCTTTGTCATTGATGTTTTTAACTCTTTATTCCTCTCCTTTCCTCTCTGTAAAAATCAATTAGATATATATTATTCTATGACTCTTGGAAACCAATTAGAAAAATTATTGTTTATCACATAGTAGCTAATACGGGTAAATATCTACCCCCATCAGCAAAAAATGCTAAACTTTATTTATATTATTGCCTCCACTGAAATGAACATTTCCTCCTAAAGCATAAAACAACAACTAAAAAATAACCTTAAAATTCTTACAATGCATTGATTTCCATAATGATATTTAAATGATCCAAATTTGTACAAACCTGTTATTTCTGTTATTTATGTCAAATAAGAAAATAAATTATCTGCAAAGTATTAGCTACCCAAGTATCGCTTGTTCATAGTTGCCTTAAATTTTTTCACTCACTAAATAGAAATACTATTTTTTCATAAGTTCTCTAAAAATAGAGGTTCCCATTTTATCAATACACTGTTTCCAGTGTAAAATTATTTTTAAACATTAGCCAAATATCTTTGTACTCTCCATTTTCCATTGAAAATGACTGCTTGCTATTTTACTTATTTTCCAGTGCTGTGAATTGAGTCACCTTTTATAAAGGGATATTTTTCTTTCATAAAACAAAATTAATTTTACTCTTTACAATCAGAAAGGCCACGTGCCATATTTATCTTAGTAACCTTCTATTCTTTGGTGCTTTTCAGTTTCGTTTTTTTCTCTACTGGGAATAAGCATTGGCACACGTTGGAGCATTTGGAGAAAGCTCCGACCTCCTCACATCATGTTAGCCTTTAATTAGGAAACCCTGGGTTCCTTGAAATACTTAACAAGATCTCTCTTTTTCAGGTTCTCCCTATAGAGACAAAATCACCATTGCGATTCTCCAGCTGCAAGAGGAAGGCAAGCTGCACATGATGAAGGAGAAGTGGTGGCGGGGCAATGGCTGCCCCGAGGAGGAGAGCAAAGAGGCCAGCGCCCTGGGGGTGCAGAACATCGGTGGCATCTTCATCGTCCTGGCCGCAGGCCTGGTGCTCTCCGTGTTTGTGGCCGTGGGAGAGTTTTTATACAAATCCAAAAAAAACGCTCAATTGGAAAAGGTAAATGTCACCTTTTTACAATTTAAAATGATGGTTGTTATAATAAAAGAAACTATTTTTTATCTTTCCAACCAAGGGTAGTGCTTAGAAGTGTGACTCTTAATTGTCTTCTGCCATTCATTTATTACCAAGGTTCCCAGAGAGGACGCATGATCACCTTCGTGATTTTTTAATTTAAATGTAGTATGTTTAATTGAGCCAGCTTTGGGGCGAGTGACTATTTCTCCTCTCTTGAAGCCTGGAAAAAAAAAAAAGAGAGAGAGAGAACTGCTTGGAGTCTGAGCCGTTAGACTAGTGGAGGAATATAATTAAGGATGGAGACAAAAATCAGAAGCTATAATAATGAAGGAGAAATACTTCTCTGCAATTAAAACGTGTTGTGAGATGCAGTGCTGATTATACAGTTTTAAGACAGAGAGTAAATAAAATATTTATTTGTAAAATTTTAATTGAAAAAATCTTAATTTGCATGTGGAAATTACAATGAACTTTTTAAAATTATTGAATGTGTGAAAATATTGTGGGACGTTTTTGGCATTGTTATTCTTAATGAGCCGTTTATTTCCTTGCAGTGTCTTTTGAAGAATATATATAAACGTAAAAAATATTGAAATTATTGCACTTTTTCTTAGGATTTTAAAACATTTGGTGTTTTTAATGTATAAATATCTGTATATTCTAATCTTTGCAAACTTCATTCAGATAATGTATTTCCAGTGCTATAATTTTTTTAGTTCTATAAATACGAGGAAGAATGTTTATTTTTTAAAAATCTCTCTTTTAGATGGTACAAAACAATTTTTGTTCTGAACATGTAACAATGCTTTAACATTTTTAAATTTTCTACACTTTATTTGTATCTAAAGATATCTTCTTTTTAATTAAGAAAAAACAAAACATTTTTGGGGCTTAACTAGTTAACCCTGCATAAGAGTGAGACCATATTTGAAAAGTATATGAACTTTTTAAATAAAGATGAAGAGTAGAAACATGATATTTAAAAACATCATACATGAATAAGGGCAAATATATTCTACTAATATTCTTTGAAGCACTTACATCCTTAAAACTAATTTTTAAAAAGAAAAACATTTTCTTACATTGCTGTGTCTTTAATAATTTATGTTGCAATTATCCTTTCTAAAATAAAATTTTTTGATACAGCATTTTAACATTTTCACTTGACTATAGTACTTAACTCTTAGAAAAAATGTTTTTATAAATGAGTAATTTGATGGGTAACCAGATCAAATTTTTAAAAAAATTAAAAACAGCACAACTTATTTTTTCACAACATTAAAGATGGCTATGTGCTGACTTGGCTAAATCAAATATTTGTTGCTCTTGTGGGACTTACAATAAAATCTAAGTACACATTATATATTATAATCTTCTTTATGATGTCAAAATGAGTTTTAAAATCAAATCCAAAAAGTAATCAAAGACAAACAGATTAACTCATCAATTTTGATTTATATTATAATTTCTCAATAGATGTGATATTTGATTAGTTGATGTTTAAAATAAGTCCAAAATAATGAAGAAATTTGGTTTTTCTAGTTGGAACCTTAGATTAGTCATATATCATGATTTTCTTTCTTGTATAGCTCATTATTAAAATAAAACTAAGGAATTAATCTCTTGATAGTATGTGGTATTCTATTGTCCTTGTTTCTTTGTGTCCTATACTTGTTTCCTTGTGTTCCTTTGTGTCCATGATTTACCTAGATCATGTCATTATGCACAATCCTATCTAATAAAAGAGCAATATGCAAATTAACCATCACTCTGCGACAAAATGGCAGCCCCCATAGCCACAAGATGGTGGGGCTGAGTTCCCTCATCCCTGCTGCCTGCGGGGACAGATCCAGCCTTCCTGCTCCACCAGTGCTGCAGAGTCTGGGCCCATCAGCCCTGCAGGGGTTTGCACAGACCAAGTGGCAAAGCTGGATCTGGACCCAGACATGGCAGACAGAGCCCAGACTGCAGGGCTTGTCCGCTTCCTTAGTAAGGTGGTGGCGGGAACACCCCAGGCCCCACAGACAGAGCCAGGACAGCAGGGCTTGGGAGCTTCCTTAGTGTGTTGGTGTCGGGAAAGCTCCCAGGCCTGGCAGACAGAGCACGCTGCAGGGCATTGGGGCTTCCTTCGCATGGTACATGGCAAGGCAGGCAGAGAGCGGAGAGCAGGGCATGGGGGTTTCATCTCCATGGCTGCAGCAAAACCCTCAGAGAACTACGGAAATGGGCCTGAGCCATCAGTAGGACATCCCCTGAGAGATCCTGGATTGTAGAGGGTGCAGGTTGAGCTGAGGGCCCCCCATGCACAAATTTTGTGCACTGAGTTTCTAGCTGCTTTATAAACATTCTGCTTAAAAACAGAAGAGTGGATATAGAGATTTAATTCTGTAAAATACTTTTATTATTATTATTATTATTATTATTATCCTACTAGAGGCCCAGTGCACAAAATTAGTGCACATGGGGGTGTCCCTCAGCCTGACCTGCACCCTCTCCAATCCCAGAGCCCTCAGGGAATGTGATAGCATAGGCCCACTCCCCATGGTTCTCTGCTCTCTGCAGGCCCTGCCTGCTCCACACCATGGTGACTATCAAGCAGGCTGTGCTGGGAGCTACCTGCAGGCTGCACTTACCTGTTCCCAGGTCGCCATGGCAATGGCCAAGCAGGCTGTGCTGGTAGCTGTCTCCTCCCTGCTGTCAGTTTCCACAGAGATGGTGAGATTAATTTGCATACTCACTCCTGATTGACTGGTGGGTGTTGTGGAGTGGTGGTCAATTTGCATATTTCTCTTTTATTAGTGTAGATATAATAAAAACCTAATATGCTAAGTGTCTGGTCAGCCAGTCAGCTGTTCAACCAATCAAAGCATAATATGCTAATTGTATGCTTGCTAAGGACACTCAATTTCTCACTATGATGTGCACTGACCACCAGGGGGCAAATGCTCCAACCAGTAGGTTAGCTTGCTGTGGGGGTCCTGCCGATCAGGACTGAGCAAGATGGGCTGAACACACCCTGGAGACCCTCCCATGACCCTTTCCTGCTGGCTAACCTCCTGCCTCCCTCCCTGGCCCTAATCGTGGGGTTCCTCCACCTGGCCTGCACCCTCTCACAATCTGGGACCCTTTCGGGGATGTTGGAGAGCTGGTTTCAGCCCAATCCCACAGGCCAGGCCAAGGGACCCCATTGGTGCATGAATCTGTGCACTGGGCTTCTAGTTAGAAATAATGAATTTGGTTGAATTTTAACATAACCAGCTCTCATGAATGGCCTTATTAAAAGTTATTAAAAGGAATGTACTTTTTTTTTATTAAACCAGATAAAACATTACATTGAAAAGAAATCAAAGAATACAAAAGAAACAACTGTTTTGATAATACATAAGCATTATGTTTCACATTCCCCAATGCTTTCACACATGTCTCCTCCTGGCTTCCACATTGGAAGTCAAACTCCCTAGCTTATCAGACACGTCAGGACCTGTCTCTGTAGTTTTACCTTTTCCTTCCCCGCAGCTGACACTTTCTCCTCTAGCTGCACTAACATACTTTCCATTCTCCAAAGTCATCCATTTTTTCCAAACCTCTTCCATTTGACTTGAGCAACCCTGTGTATTTTTATACCTAGCTTATTTCAGGTACTATCATCATTCCAAAAAGATATTCTCCCCTTTTGAAAAAGTTGAGAAGGTATTTCTGACATTTCAAACCACATCCATCAACAAGCCAAGGAACCTTATCTCTGTGAGGCCTATGTATATCTCCATTCTCCCTTAGCATGTTATTTTATTGCACGTCATACTTGTTGGTTTCTATGTGTGAGTGCATCTCTGCCCACTGGACTCTTAGTTCCTGTAGGAAAATGACCCAATTTTCTGATTTGTACTCTAAGGAAACAAGTAGTGCTTATTGGCATAAGATCTATCTATCTATCTATCTATCTATCTATCTATCTATCTATCATCAATTATCTAATTAATCTTTCTTTCTATTGACTTAAATTAATAATGAAGTTGATTCCAGTGACCTATTTTATAAAAACTACAATAAAGAATGAAAATGAACTGTTTTTATATAATTCAAAAGAATTGGGTTTAGCAAATAAATAATTATGGTTTTATTAGGGTGACCTATATTTTTATTGTGATAAATTAGGTTATTAAACTCAATTTTCTTCATTTTTCTTGAAAAAAAATTACTCATTTGGGCTAAACAGTTTAATACCTTATTTAATTTATCAGAGTTGTCAGAAAATATTCCTAGAATATGCCAAAACTGGTTTGGCTCAGTGGATAGAGTGTCAGCCTGTGGACTGAAAGGTCCCAGGCTCGATTCCGGTCAAGGGCATGTACCTTGATTGCGGGCACATCCCCAGTGGGGGAGTGCAAGAGGTAGCTGGTCGACGTTTCTAACTCTCTATCCCTCTCAATTCCTCTCTGTGTAAAATCAATAAAATATATTTTTTTAAAAAGAAAATATTCCTAGAATTTATTATAAGTTATGCTTGATGGTATATAGAAATCCACAGTTTATTTACACTTATAATTGTGCCTAAAATCTAACTTCTTAAATTAAAAAGATGGTAAACATTTGTGGAACTATTCCTTTGCTCTAATAATTATTTATTGAGAGCCAGGCATGCAATGGATTATGCTTTGCATATTTAAAGCAAGGATTCGCCATTTAGCTCCAAAGTGTTTTGCTATTTTCTCTTCTCATTCTCCATTTTCTTTCTTTTTTCTTCAGTCTATAATATTCTACTACTTTTTAAAAGACAAATAATTTTTTCCATCTCAGTAAGTTGGCAGATATAATATACACTGAGTCTAGTTGAATATGAACATTATGGAAGTTGATGACCATAACGTTTTATATTTCCAAGTTGTTTGATAATTAAGAATCATATATGAATACATTATCTTAAAATAAGAATAGGTTAAAACTGAATACAATGGGATAAGGACACATATGTAATACCTTAA